CCCCCCCCGCAATAGTTAATTTTGTATCCACTGCCTGTTCCTCTGTGGCCATGGCATGCATTGCGCAGTCCCCCTCATTCCAAAAACAAACGAACATGACCTTAGATTGCAGCAGATGGGAGCAGCATGGAAAAAACTGAAAGTTAATATTGCAAGCAGCAAAAGCTAGGTACAAACGTAACAATGCTCTGTGTACGCACCCATACACAGAATTAACTATGTTGGAGTCTCACAGCAGGAAAAAAACCCTGTTTGATTTGCCTTAATATTTGGCAGATAAACTAAAGTAAGAATCATACACTTTCATAATCACTAAGCATAAAGTTGAGGAAAAGATTATCTGTGACCTGCCTAGAGCTACAAAAGAACATAGCTGTTTTACTCACCCGAGGACCCCTCTTTCCTGATGGACCAGGTAAACCTGGAGGACCTGGAGGACCCTGATGATAGAAAATCAAAACAATTGAGGCTAAAAGCCAACAGAAGGACAGTATCACAAGTCTGAGTCAGACCAGTTGTTCCAACTGATGACTTTCTGCTTGTGCAGACCTTCTCAACTTGAAAACCAATTCCCAAACTACAAGCATGTGTGGTTTTAACCTGGCTCTAAATCAGATTTCTGTTTAAAAAGTATCTTATGTCAGAGGAATTTGAGCTAACAATCTAGATAGTAACTTTTACTTAAGTGCATTTGCATTAAAGGAAGAAGAGATCAGTTCAAGGATTAGAAACAAGGAAGCGCAGTGTATTTCGAAACAAAGAATACAGAATAATTAAGCATTTTTAATAAGTATGCTGGCATGCCAAACACATTTTAGAAAAGTCAGAGGTAACTGTGAAAAAATGACATACCACATCACAGAAAAGATAGACATGAAATAGAAAAAAAATAATCACGGACAACTGATTGGTCAGCCCTTGTATATATTGAATGTAATTCTTTTTAAAGAAAAAAACAGATTTTTTTTTAAAATGCTAGTATATAACCAGATGTATCTTTTGCAAATAAATTAGATTATTCGCCACTATAAGAATATTAGACAGTTTACCACCCTCTATACACCTAGTTGATTTGACCATAGAAATCTATCCTTTTCTGTATGCAATTGCTGTTCACATTCAAAGCCCCAGGATCTACTTTATTGTACTCAAATACAAATGCAAGCTCTAGCCTAAAATCTGCACTAGTTTATATTATACTTCATCTACCACAGTCGAGTCCTAAGAAGACATGGGGTATTCTTAACAGTGAATTCAGCTCCCATCCAAATGCCAGCACAGCAAGTCTCAGCTTTAAGAGAAACCAAGTACAACCACCACAAGGGAAGATGGGCATCCAAAAAGTCAGACCTCACAAAGGAGGTCAGTTGATGATAGCAGGAAGGGATTCAACTAGCACTCTCACCCAGGCTTCCTCATACTCATGTGTTGCATATATACTACAGCCTCTCAGCTGAGGCACTAGGCAAACACTGAATGTCATACTGCCCATCACCATCCCCTGGCAGGGATACCAGGAAAATCAGAAGGGCAACTATGGGAACTGAAATTGCCAACCCCCAGGCTTTGCAAAAAAAAAAAAAAAAAAAAAAAAAAAAAGGCTAAAAAAAGAGAAGAGAAAAAAGACAAACACCCTTTAGGGTTTTATTAACAACCAACAAATCATTTTATTAAGACAAAAGCTGCTTTTTTAAAAATCTAAAGTTTTGCGGAAGTGATATTTCTTTTTCCTTGGAAAGATAATGTCACTGGCACAGAAGACAGTGCTGATTATGGACTTAGTATTGTCAAGCCAATTGCATTCATTTAGCCAAAATACAGACCACCTTGGACAACTCTGGGAAAAACACTATTGTTCTGAGGAACTAAAAAAAAAGATTTTCCTCTCCATACACACTGCATTAAGTCATGCTGAAATCCATACCTTGCATTTCCCTTTCTGTGTAATTTAGAAGACACAAATCTGTGTAACACTCCTGGTCTTTAGGTCTGACATGTCATAGTTTTAGCATAGGATGTTCACTATTTACCCCAATTGCATAAATGGGCACTAGCATCTTCATATTTTTCTAGACTAAAAAGACCATAGCTGTGTTTAGTAACACACACAAGAAAAAGTAGCAGACACATGGAAATCTCCTGACCTGGCATTCTTGTCCAGGTCCAAAAGTGTACCTGAAACAGCACAGAGAGCTCCTACCCTGCCACTGCTGAAGTAGCATGCTTTCTAATCTCTCCTCTCAAATTATAAGGTAAAGAAATGCACTTTGCTTAGAAAATTATCCTGGGACTGTAAAGAGAAACATATTATATATTTTAAAATAGTTGTAACTACCATGCGTTCTTTTGCAATTTGTGGTACAAAGGTTTTCCCTATCCCTGTTTCAGACACTCTCTACATTTCTTTAAAAATACATTAATAGCTTTCTAATCTCTCCTCTCAAATTATAAGGTAAAGAAATGCACTTTGCTTAGAAAATTATCCTGGGACTGTAAAGAGAAACATATTATATATTTTAAAATAGTTGTAACTACCATGCGTTCTTTTGCAATTTGTGGTACAAAGGTTTTCCCTATCCCTGTTTCAGACACTCTCTACATTTCTTTAAAAATACATTAATAGCCAAATCCCACCTAATAGAAATTTTCCCAATATTTTTCCTAAAGAAATTTTAATGAGTATCTATTAACATTCCTGATCTTTGCTGCAAATGTATTGAAGAGGGTAGTGAGAACATTTTTCCTATGGGACTTTTAAAATTTTTTTTTAAAGTAGTACCTGCTTCCTTTGAAACAAACAAAACCCCCCACCTCACTTCATTAACACTAATTCATAAGTAATTATCTCTCCATCTAAATAACACACACAAAAAAATCCAATCACAATCAAGCCCTCAGCAACCACTAAAAGCAGCAGTAAAATATGTTTTCAACTATGCAGCCCGAAATGAATAATGCTTTCTCAGTCAACCATTGTAGAGGAAGTCTCTGGTTAACAATAATTAGCAATTAGCACCAGCAATCCAGGTATTCGATTAAAGTATTAGCAAGGACTTTCCCTTAACCAGAGTGCATTATTCCTTAACCTCCAGCTCAGACTCCTCCCTGCAACTCAAGCAACATCTCTGCTGACAGCAGACTTAGTAGAGCACACCTAAGTCTTCCTGAAAATGCTTTTCCAACTAATTTAAGAAGTTATTCCACCCTATTTACTTCTTCAACCTGTGAAAGCAACTACAACTTCAAATCAGCATGAGTTTTTATGCAAGCTAGGAGGCTATTTATGCCTCTTAAGCACCCATGTAAGTCACAGAAGTCAATTTCTGAGAGCGAGCCAATCTCTCAAACCATGGAATTAGTCATTTGTATGAACAGCTTTTCCTCTAGCTACTGGAAACAGTAATTAAACAAACCTGAACCAATTAAAAGTGTTAATGTGTTTCTTCGCATTTGACATTTTAACCACCAACAAAAAAGTGACTTTGTGTAAATATTACTGATGTAAATTTTAAATCAATTTATTTAATAAAATCAGTTTGCTCAAAACAGATCATATGTACCTTAAGCAAGGTACTACAACTTACTGTACACTTAGGAATTGTAAAAATTTCATTAAGCTATTGAGGGGAAAAGCTCAAGTTCCAAATAATCATGCCTTAATCGTGACATAATAAAAGTAGATGCCACTCTTCCAAAAATTTCACTACCTTTCAAGTGGTCATTGGGATGAATGTAATGGTGAACTTCCACACCATTTTCTAGGACACTGAAGCCCTTCTACAGATGCATGTGTTTTAAACTTGCTCTATGCCAGAGGTAACAGGAAGCTTTTTGTTTGCATATAAAAAGCCCCTGAGATTTCAGATGCACAGCACCAAATTCTACATTAAGTAGTTAAAACTTCTGCCCAGGCATATGCTGATCCTGTTGCTATTCAAGACCGAAATCATATTCACTGAAGTTTCTCTTGCAAAACCACTATGAAGTTTCTCTTTAAGAGGCAATTGACTACACCGTAACCACTCAACTTCAGCTCACTCAAACACTTTTTAAAAAGACTAAATTAAAGAAACATGAGGTCAATGCTTGATCCATCAAACACCTAAGGCAGGCAGTCCTTCAGCAAAACAAAAATGACATGAACCCTTCTGCACATCATCACCAAAATACCTGAAATACAGCAGGGAAGTAAACAGAAACATCAGGCTCCAAACCTCTTCCGAAAAAACTCTCCACAAAAGGAAAATCCACTTCTAACATTGCTCATATCACTTGTTCTATTGTGCAGCTATCACTCTGACTAGCCATGTTTTCCTTATGTCCCATCTATAATTTCCTATTCTGTTTTGCCATACTTGCTGTGAACAGCCGAAAAAGCCTATTAACCCACCCTTTGCAAAACTATAACATTTGTCCCTTACTTTCATTACTAAACATATTTTTGTTTTAACCTTTGCTCAGAATCATATTTTCTATAAGCATGCCACCATTACTGCAACTTTCCAGTCTGTCTACATCCTTTTTAAAGCTCATCATCTGAAACTGAGGACACTTATCCAAACTGCAGCCTCAGCATACCCAAGCCAGTAGAAAAATAGCCAGTCTCTGATACTCACCACTCTGGTAACATATCAAGCACCACAGTGATAAGATGCATTTATTCTCTAGTGCACTATAACATCATTATCACCCTCATCTGAGGGCCTAACCCATCACTTCCCCCATCCTCTATTTGTACTTTTAATTTCTGTACTATTGCACTAAGTTTCATCCCATCAGTTGTAGACCAACAGGAATTCTGGTTCTGTCACTCAGAATTATTCTACTTATTCCCAGCATGCTTTGTCTACCCTTTTAAAGCATATTATTTCATACAGATCTTACTTATTGAGCAACAAGGATCCTACCAAACATGAATGTCCACCTATATTTTCTTCTTGCTTCATTAGCATGTCACTGGAAACGATAAAACAATACACACTTTTCTTTCCAAATGCCCTAAAGCAGGCAGTCACTTGTGTATCATTAACCTGCTCTCTTTACAGCTATGGAAGTCTTTCCCTTTCTCTGTCAAGAATTCCTACAACAGCCAAAGCAATGTCATCAATATCAGAGGATTACATATATATGGCTTTGGGTTATGGATTAAAGCTTTTCAACATTGTTGTGCAGAAGATAGGGAAACTTCATCAGTTTCAGGTGAATTGAATGTTTAAATATTTAAGACATTATATTTTTGCTACTAAAAATAAAACAACAGGAATCTTAAGGTTTTTATCTGAGTCAGCAGATACCGAGATAGATTTCTCAGCCTGGGCAGGGAAATGTGAGGGTTACCTGCAGAGCTAAAATGCATGAAAGTGATTAACTGCCCAATATATCCCCTAGGCTAGGGAGGGCCTCAGCAAGCAATTCTGTTCAACTGAGAAATAAGCCGAGTGAAATCTCCGCTGATGCTACCCTTACTGCTGTTTATTTAGGACCACAGGTAGGATCTCTGAACTGCCCTCTCTCAGGCTTCTCACTCTCATGCCTCTTGGTGGGAATATGAGCATGTCATCCAGGACTCCATTCTGCCTAATGCAGGGCTCACATTTCCAATTCCTCTTGGCAACATCTCCAGACTGATTCTCCTCACCAACTAGACAGACTAAGGAACACCACCCTTTGGTCTTCTACTGTTTCTCCTCCTGGCTGAGTGTCTTCATAATCCATAAAGCTTTTCCAATAGAGAAAACTAATTCCTAGCTCATTTCTCAGAGAAAACCAAATCCTGTACAGATGCAGTTACCTACCAGGAACTAACCTAAGTCAGCTCTCCAGCTCACGTCAACCCCTCTTTCTACCAGTGTGGGACCATGTATCATGTTACTGCAAACTGCTTTAGGACTGTGCAATGAAGAATATCAGTTTGAAAGTTAAACAGTTAAACATATGCACCAGATCTTTTTTTTAATCTTTATACAGTGCCCACATCCTTTACAACATGAAAAGGAGCAGCTCACCAGATGAATGGAGCAGCTTTAGCCTCTAACTAGTAGAGACCACAGTTCCACTTTAAACTCACCTTATATTTTGTAGGGGATTTTGGTCATTGCAACTGCTAGAATTTTAATCAGCATCTTAATAGTTTTGAAGAAATAGGTGCCCTTTTCTATATGCTACCCATAAATGAAAACCTGAATTCTGGAGCTCTGCTTTGCAGTGGTGGGTGAATTCCACAGCTGTGGGATCATGGAGTACAAGGGGCCTAATTATACAAGGCAAAAATCAGTTCTGGTAGATAATTAAAAGCTAAAACAAAGTTGAGGAGTTTAAGAACCACAAAAGCTAGTTCTTGCCTGTCAATTCCAATATAAAAAACGTTATTTCTGTGTTGAAATCTTGAAAGAAGGTTCAAGCCAACCACAAGATAATGAAAGAAAAAAAAGGGGGGAGGGGGGGTCATGCCTCATCAGGATTTTTTGCTGTCAGGGAACTTTGCAAGTTCCTCAGTGTTGCTTTTTAAGGCTCCCCACTGATAAGACTCTGTGGGTACTTATGTATTAAAAAGTGTTAGAGCCACACAAATAAAAGCTGGATTATCTCTGGTCTTCTCTACACGGGTGTATTAGACTGAAAAAGCTAACCAAGACCACCTCTTCAAGCCTGAGGCCAACACCAGCGGCAGGTACTGCGCCATGAAACCTCCATGGAGCACAATTCTTTACAAAAGCTTGTTTGGAAAAGGCCATGCAGATGCCTCTTCTCCCTTTGGCATCAACCTCTCTGGCAACACAATGCTTTAGCTTTACCTCTGTTTCAGTGGGTGCTGCTGGCCCCTTCAGCCAAACTAGTACCCACAAAGCTCTAGGTTAACTTCCCAGCTCTGCCACAGACGTCCAAGACCTCGGACATGTTATTTAAATCCTGACCCAGCAAAACACTTCAGCACAAATGCACCATATTCATTGCTACAGACTATAACAAACACAAGGCCTGTTCTAACTGCCTTCCTAGACAGGAAAAACTTCTGCATCCCCAGTGAGAGAGGCATAGAAAACAGTAATATAGACATCTTTGAACTCTCCAGATCAGCCATCATCTTTGACACTGTGTGTATAGTGTCTGTGTCAAGAAAAAACAAACAAACAGAGCATTTGCTTGGAGTTTCTTAGTAATGCAAACAACCAATAGCATTATCAGCAGCCAATTCTGTGCCACGGAAAAAAGAATAGATTTAACTTTCCTGGCTGTAACTGACTGAAATCACAATGTACAAGCTATGTACTAAAATTAAAAGCTTCCGTTAGCAGTTACAAAATGTCCTAAGCTCCAAAAAATGAAAATTAACCTCATGTTGATGACAGCTACATATTTAGTGATATGTCACCATAAATACTGGGACAAAAGAGAAAAAAAAAACCTGATTCAGAAAAGATCAAGCAAGAGCACCCCTGGACTAACGTGAATTACTTAACACATTTCTCAATTGGGGTGTAACAATCCCTTTGCATCTGGGTTCTGTTTAGGGTAAAAATGGAACTTTTAAATAGGTTTTCAGTTGCTGACTACACTAAAATATTTTAGTACTGAAAGAATACACACAATAAATTTACAGGCACATTCAAATATATATTAGGAGCTGCTTAACACATATCAAATTGCTTTCCAGTAATAACCACACAAATCCACACACACACAAAAGAGCAAGTGGAATTATCTACTCCATGCTATGGTTTTTAACCAAAAACTCAGACAAGCACTATCATATTTCCCACGCTACAGGAACTGCTGTTCTTTCTTCTCTGTAGCTCCATATATATTGCTCCCATTTTTATGTATTAAAAAGTTTGAGCCTTGTGTACACAATAAGGCCAAATAGGTTTCCATTTAAAGCACTACTGTACATTTGCAACTGTTTCAAGGATGACTTATCCTGCAAACTGAAAAAAAGCCACAAAAATCTTGTAAGACTCTTCTAAAAGTCATTTTACATGCAGGTTTGCATGACCCTGTAACCTTGGGTTACAAATGGTTTTACCAGTCTAGATGCTGCAACTGGTCTTTTTCTACAATTAGGAATTTTGATAGCATTGCTCAAATAAGAAAACTATGTCAGTCTTCCAAACAGCCTGGTTGTTCTTTTCATGGATCAGTGTCTACATTTGTGTACAGTATGAATTTATCCTGTAATTTTATTAAGTGAGCAGTCTCCATAATTAGCAGTTACAAGCATCTGGCTGCATTTCAAATTTTGTAGAGGTCTGGGCTGCCTACCACTTCACCAGAATGTGAATGTCTCCAATGTTTTTTGTATAAAAAAAAATTAAAAAAATACACAACACACCAAAATTACATGCGGGAAAGAAACATACTTAAGGCAGACAAACATTTGTACAGTACAGCAGGGAGAAGTTGCAGTCACAGCTTTGGCATGCTCTGTGAGGTTTCTTTCAAAGCCTCTGTTAAATGTATGTTGCTGCATTATAGTAAAAAGAGTAGTAAAGATAACTTACAGGAGGTCCAGTTTCCCCCTTTGGACCTCTGACACTTCCCATTTCAAACATTTTGTCAAGGTCTTCATATTCATAAGCATAATGATCAATACCAATGTCATAACTATTTTCCGTATGATAAGTCTCATCAGCATCAAATGCACCTTCCTGCCCTGGACTGAGTTGATTATCCAGAGAGAGGTCAGCAGGCAAACTGTACAAGGTTGCGTTGAAGATGTGCTGCTTTTTGCTTGATTCATCTAAATGCTGTTTCGCTTTGTCCATTCCCTTGCTTGTAGTTTTACTCTGTTTTATGGGGGAGATCAGAGAAGGTTCACTTTGCCTGCCTGCATCTTCTGTGGTATTATCTACAGTATTTGGATATGATCCTGTGGGGTTTTTAGTATTGTTTCTTTTTTTGTTCGTCTCCTGCTGATGAAGAGGCAGATTGACATTCTCCTGGAGTTCTGTTTCAGGCCAAGCTTCCAGCAACGGAGGTCTGGCCTCTGGAAACTCTGATACAGAGACATTTCTTGACTCAAAGTATTCTGATAGCAAATTAATCTGAGCAACACTGGTAACAGGAATGTTTGATGTTTCTTCCCTTCTATAAGCCGATATGACTTCTGAGTGTTTTTTCTCATCAATCATCATCTTTGAAAAAAGATCCAACCCATCTGACACACGTGGAGCTCCTAACAGAGATCGATACGTTTCAGCCTGGCGACACTGCTGTTTCACATATTTACAATAGTTTGCAGAGGCTTCTGCAGAAGGAATAATATCTAGCTGACATATCACTCCTTCAAAGCTGACAGAATGAGAGTTCATCCTTCCCAAGGTAAATGAACCATCCAAATCAAATGTCTCCACTTCAGTAAGTATTTCCCTGCTATAGTACTTCTTTCCGCACTCAGCGAATATTGAGACAGTCTTGTCTCGAATGTCAATGGCAAATGAATGCCACTGTTCATTATGAACACTATAAGCAAAGTATACAGACTGCTTCCCTCCAGTGTACACCACTATCTTTCTCGGTAGCAACTGGACACCAAACTGCAGTCTATTTTTGTTCCTAATACTGAAAAGGAAAGCATTGTTTACTCTGTAAGAGTACAGCCCAACTAATATAGTGAACTGATGCCCTAGATTTGATGGTATGACTTCAGTGATGGGGGACTCAATATGTGCATCACTAGTTAGTACAACTCCTGATACGGTTAGACGAACACCCTGAGGTAACAGAGATGTTGAGGGCACTGTCGTCTCCGAGGGCTGTTGAACATCTTTCACAAGGCCTAGTTGATGAAGAACATCTATCACTGTAAAAAGAAATAAAGGCATACTGTTGAATTTGTTTACAAGCTCATAAATTCAGATCCATATAACCAAATGCACGTATAACATCTTAAGAAATCTGTACGTCCCATAGCATATATACTGCTTACAGCAAGGCCACCAAATTCTAGTGTAAGGCACACCAATCTTTCACATAAATCAAAGCCAGAACAAAATTTTCATCTTTAAAAAAAAAACCACCACAGAGAAAAGTCCACATAATGCCCATTGTAGGCTAGTTCATTTAAGAAACTGAAAAATCCCCATTTGCTGTCCTCAACTTTTTCACAGTAGTTAATGAACACACTTTGTTAATTCCTTATTTGGCTAATCCTGCCTACTCTTTGAGCAGATAATTTTAACTTTTTCTTCTGCAAAAACCTTCTGCAGTAAAATCATGCTTTTCCTCTTTATCAGAAAAGTTTAAATGAAAGTATTTGGAGGGATGGTTGCTTTGTTTATTAAGAAAGGACAAACTATTTATAACACAGTAACACCTCAGTGGAGCACCAGAAGACAGTCACTGGCTCTAAACAAAATACAAAGGTAAACCTTGCCAAGTAGCTACTATGTGCAGAGGGAATGCAGCCGGTACCCAGGAAGAATTGCTGGGCTTCCACCAGGGAGCTTTCCTCCCGCCAGGCAAGGCCCTGTGCCATTAGAGAGCTGGCTTCAAAAGGAATTGTTTTCCCCACAGGGTCACCCTTGATTGTACGTATCTGTGCCAAAGTTAGTCAGACTTTCCAAGGGGAGATGCAACAGAGCGCGCTGCCACTGCCTCCTTTCTCACCACAGAGTTCACTTGTAAGGGCCAGGGATGAGGTGAAGCCTGCAGAAGCAGAAGTGGTGAGGAGCAAGGAAAGAGGAGAAATGTCAGGACCCAATGGGCAGTGCTCCCGTCTTCTGGCTCATCTGTCCTCCCAGGGAACGCAAGGCTGCAGCTACCCAGACAAGATACTCAATTAAGAATGCACACCACAGTAGGAGACAGCAGCGGACATTAAGGAGACAGAGAAATCAGCTGTCCTACTGATATATGTCCTATAGATTTGGCTTTGGCATATAGAAGTCTGGATAGGAGATCTTCCCATAGGGTGGAATGGGCAGTGGTGTTTTCACTGTTGGATTCTCTAGTGTCTTATATAAATGTGAGCTTTGTGCTTTAGCCCTTCCCTGAACCTTACACTATTTCCATCTTTTACATGGCTACATATCTTCACTTAATGTGTAGAAACACAATTATCTAGCCTCCAGATAAACTGAAATCATATCTGACCTGGGGTAAGAAAGCAAAGCCACTTTCTTCTTTAAGGGTAAATCAATGGTCAAAGATGACTGAATTCATTTGGTATTGCCTAAATCAGATTTAGGCATGTTGGAATTGGTGAGCATAAACACCTTCTTCCTTCAGGATTAATATTAAAGACTTGATCCCTTATGATGCAGCTGAAACAGAAACACTACAAAGGCTTGAATAGGAGCTAAACCACATGTCACCAGCAGTCTTCCTGTAGTGTCGCAAAAAAAGACAGCGCTTACAGCATCGATCGGTAAAACTGACTTGTCTGGGTGTTTGTGAAAGGTGTCACAGAAATACTGCAGAGACTGAGACAAAACACAATCATCAAAATAAGAGATAAGAAGGTTGGGGGCTAAAACGCATGACATGAGAAAAGGCTGAAGGAGCTACATTTGCTTCGCCTGGAGATGGGAAGGTTTGGGGCAATCTAATTACAATTGTCCATTATATAAATTAGACTTATAAGGGAAACAGAGAAAAGCTGAGGAGTAACAAGCACAAACTGCAACACAAGAAATTCCAGCTCCGTACAAAGAAAAACCATTTTCACCACAAAAGTGGTTAAATGCTGGACCAGGGGGGCCAAAGACATCATGTAATCTCCATTCTTGGAGATTTTCAAAACCTGACAGGACCCAACAACCTGAACTAACTTCAACATTGACCCTGATCTCAGTAGGAGGTAGGACTGGATGAGTTCAAGGTCTAACCTAAATTTTCCAATTTTCTGCCCAAGGGGAGACTGAACATTGTACAGAAGCATACAATACCATCTTTTTTCCCCCAGCTGGAACAACTGGGCCTAAGCTTCAGTGAAGTGCCTATATTAAAAATGACTAACAGTTGCACTGATCTAATAAGCCTGACTGGGAGGAGACTGACACTTTCCATAGCATTTAGCTGAGGATACTTTTACTGTGCACATTGTGCTTACGTTTAGTAAATAAAGCTATTAAATGGCATAACAAAAATGTGGAATAACCAAGAGAAGTTAAGGATTCTCTGCTATATTAACAGAAAAGAGCAACTGAAACAAATGGATGTTCGCTCTTTTAGTGGAAAAAAGGTCTCCTTTTCCAGGCTTCCCTTTCTCTGTTTACTAAATGTATTCATAGCAAACTAAGAATAGACAGACATTGGCTTAGTTTCAGCAGTAAATTATGAAAAGAGCCTGAGATTTCCTTGAGAGTGGTTTATAAATTGGAACAAAAAGCATCAACCTGAATGCACTGTACATCCTGAAAATTAATTACACACCTTGTAGTGTTTCTAGTCATGTTTGAGATTCATAGACATGCCAAGATTATCCTGGCAGGTAGCCAGCGCAGACAGAGGTATGGAGAAAGCGTATCTTTGCAGAAAGTCATGTGTATGCCAGTTTCTCAAGATGTTTTGCCTCAGAGCAATTAATTTACTATGGCTATATTTTTATCTGTCAAACTGATAACAGAGGTCAGGTTATAGGAGAGCTTCGAAGCACAATGCATCTGCTAATGAACCACCACACTTTCCCAGGACCCCAGTCCTGCATGGTCTGCAAGTAGTTATGGAGGAGAAAGCTGTACTTGTATTGCCCTTGTGAAAGTTAAGAAGAAACACAGGTCCCAATGCAAAGGTCTTACACATGCACATAATACCCCAACACTTCTGTGCAGTGGCTGGGCCAGCTGACTGCAGAAGAGGATAGCTAATCATCTAACCTAAGGTTGTGCCAATATGTCACATCCTAACCTGAAATATTTGACAAGTAGTTGTATTTTAAAATATTTGTAATTAAAAATAACGACACACATGATCTGTCCGAAGTAGTATAAATTGAAGTGCAAACCAAAAAGCTTAAGCTTAAACTGGCTTAAAACAGTCAATTTTAAAATGACATTCAAGAGCATGGCTACTAAATCTCAAACTTTAAGCAAAATTGCCAAAGTTTTGGCTGTTCTGATTTGAAAACAGCACACTGTTTGAAAGTTATTAAAAAAAGGAAAATCATCTGAGAGCATGATGGAAATAAGACACATTCTCCACATCCTGCAAACAGATTTCTGCAGACAGTGATAGGTCCTGAGAAAGCTAAACGCAAATAAATGCTGTGTGAAAAGGGACAGCAAAAGATGAAGTATCAACTAATTATTCCTTGCTGACTTGCTGCCTGTTAACTCACCGTCAAGCCAAAAGGCTGTTCCAAACTTTTTTGGCCAGTCTTTTCATTTCTGCTCCAGCATGTACTTTTATTTTATTTTAAGGCTTTCAGAAGCTCTTGGCAGTACACAGGGCTTTGGGATCAGGCAACCCTCTCAACTCTTCATCGCAGCATGACAACCACTATTTTCTTTACCTATCAGTAGTCAGTTTTCTTTGTTTACCCATGTCTGCACAGCATCTGTCTTCACTTACTGTTCCCTCAACCCATTAGTTCCCCAAATTATAACGGCTCATCTTCTTGAAGGAATAGTTGTTTTGGGTTTTTGGTGTCGAGTGCTTTCCTTCCACCTTCTAGGAGGACCTGAAAAATTCACAACCTTACTGCATCATCAGAGAAGGGAAAACCTAACATAGACTTTGGCAAAGAAATCTTCTGACCCTCTTGTGGCATAAAAAAAAAATCCCAAAAAGGAACTGGGAAGGGATAGTGGATTTGGCTATTTGATCTTTCCACACCCTTATTCTGTTCAGTCTCTCTTGTTCATTTTCCGCATTCCTCCATCTCATGACTACCCTGAAGGCAGGATTTTTGGGGTGCACTCTCTCCATTTCAGCAATCCTAATGTACACATTACTTGCTTTCCCTTTAGCAGTATGGGTAAATGAAAGACAAGGGTCATTCATCAGTCAGCTCCACCAGAACTGACACTAATTACTCATCAGGTTGCTCATTTCCTAGGTGATGCTGCATCTGCAATTCAATAAATTAAGATACCTGGCTGCAACCAGCACTCCTCCAGAAACCAAGCCAAGTGACTGGCATAGGAAAGCCAGATACATTGATTCTGTATGTCCTTGAGCCACATTCAGAGTACTATTCCTAAAGGCTGAGGCTGTATCTTTACATGTATGTGACTGAACACAATTTATAGCAGCCTACCAAAATGAACAAGGCCTGTCTTTTCAGGTAAAGCATGCACAGGCTGTCTCATCAGCCCAGGAGAGAAGGAACATTAATTACTCTAGCTACAATCTTTGTATTTGGCAGAATTCTATTTTTTCAAAATACAACTGCCAAGAAAGTTTTAATAACAACTTTAGTATTAACATATTCCTAATGGGCAGAAAATCCTGTTTCTGGACAAACTCTAAGCACGGCACATGGAATAGTGCTAGCTCTGCAGGTTATATACTGAGACTGAAGGATACACATGAGCTGCTCTTTTTTTTGAGGAGGTTTCCTCAGTCTGCCGTTCTCTGGACTGCTTTTTGCAATATTTACGCTCTGTGCAAATAAAGTGCATGAGCAACCAAATTCACCCATGGGCAGAAAGTTGCATCAAGGTTCAGTGCATCATTTTGATCCCAAGCAAGCACTCAAAGAAAATGAAGTCATAGATGACATCTGTGTATGAGGGGTGGAGGGGAGTTTCCATTCAGTAAGGCTTCTCATATGGCTATCTAGAAATGCTGTTGAGTAATAAAAAAAATAGCAGGAAAGTTCATTCATCTGCTGGTCACAAAATAAAATATAATCAAATATAAGCATGTCGAGACTGGAGACTTTACCCCATTTCTGCAGAGCTCTGCGCACAGAGGTACTCTCAGCCGAGAGGCAAATAAGCCTCAGACTGCACCCACTCCCCTGTGCCACTGCTGCCCCCAGTTCCATAGCCTTCACAGCCCTCGCCTGAGGTTTCGGTAGAAAAGCAATTCTCAGGCTGAGGCACATGCGAAATGAGAGAAATTGTTTATTTCTTTGCAGAGGAGGAGGGTGGGCTGGAGGGATGAAGACAACTCAAACCATCGCTGCACACCTGTCTCTGCCATCCTTCACCTGCTCACTACATTGGGAAAGTGCAAACTCCTCCCTAAAACAGCTTCTTCCCTTTCCCGGCTCCTTCTCCCAGCCTGGAGCAGGGCAGGCCACACACCACTATGGGTCCTGCCCCTCCTCCAATGAGAACCTGGCTCAGCTGTTAGAAAAGTCCAGGAAAATCCCATCATCACAAAAGCAAATGTCCCCCATCGAGCTGAAAGTGAAAAATCAACAACCAATCTTACCAGGCAAACAACAAGCAACAAACAGAAGGCAAAACTACAAAGAGAACAGGAAAAAAAAACCCACAACTGAAGGAAAAAACCCAAACTTTGCCAGCTGCAAGGAATGATGAGAAGAAAAAAGGCATTGGTGAGAATAATGGCGGGAGGCTGCTGAGATATCCCACAGGGCTCTAGCAAAACGTTATCAGGAATGAGTCTTGTCTTAACCATGCATCCCAGCTGTTCGCATTCAGCTGAGTATTTGCAGTTAACATACTGACCAGCCAAGGATGACCTATGTCTTGCTTCACCCGTACGATGAAGGAAGATGGCAGAGAATCAATGCTGCCACACTCCTGGCAGATAAGAAATGCCTGAGCAGCATGTTAGCCTCCACCACTTTGGGACACTAATATTCCTACAGCAGTCTCTAGTGCACGCTGCACATCTGGTGCAGCTATAACAGCTGGCAGATTAAAAAAGAAACTAAAAACAAGACAACTCTATTTCCTTGCTAACATCTGCATCTGAATGCAAAACCAAATGAATACACAATTTCACTTTTTGCTTTAATGATGCCAGCCTAGATGAAGCCTTTATTATATGCAGTGGTTTGCTTGCACAGCCCTAAGCGCAAAGGTTACTCAGTCATAGCTTGCCACCCCCAAAGACACCCACTTGCAGTGAAGACACAATCAAAGTCTTTTCACTGTACAAGGCTTCTCTCTTATGAGGAGCCTGCTTAAATATGTAAGTAATTTCATAGACAGAAAATCTGAGTAATTTTCAAAAGGTCATCTTTTCCAAACTGGTTGCTTTAAACTTTTGCTCTCATTATGCTGTAGCTGGTATTTTCTTTAAGTTACAATTAAAGAACTGAACCTAAGGTCACTAGTAACAACAGCCATTTACTCTTTTCATCTAGTAACAGATTACAAAAATGTCCTGTTATTTAAAAAAAAAATTAAAAGCATTCTCACCTTGTTTGGGTACTTGTGTAACACCCACAGCTACACATACTGCAATAAAAAGGAGAGTTTTCCTAAAAGGGAAAGAAAAGAACATGTGAGAAAACATCTAAAGTTTCAGAACTCCAAGGAATTAGAAGCTTGATTCAACATCCAAAGTCAATGGCACGATACCATTGACTTCAGCAATGGATTGAAGCCATCACATTGTACAGCTTTCCACTGGTGCTGAGAAGGCGTTTTACACAAAGATCAAGGATTATGTATGCCCTCATATATAGTACATATATTTCACACTGCCTTATATTAATAAAGTAACTGCATCTGGTTTGTATTTTCTTGCAGCAGCCTTCAAATACGAATGCTGCTATGTAGTAAATTTCTTCCTGGAAAGAAAAAAAAAAACCACATTATTGTGAAGAAACTATAAAAGAAATGACAAGTTAATGCCTTTTGACCTGCTATCAGTCTTGTCACTATATCACATCATTTCACCATAAATGACAATGTTGTGTCACACTTTTGTTCCTGTATTATAAAATTTTGTCATGTTACAAACAAGACATGCTCTTCACAAACTTAAAAAAAAATCCCACCACACTGACTTAAAACTTCATGCTCAGATAGAAGAGTACAATACTGATAGGTATCATAGGCTCACCAATTGCAATGAACACATATAAGGTTGATACAGATTATGTGCTCAAAACCTGCTTTAAATGAAAAGTATTAGATGTCGGGCAAAATACATTTTTACCACGGCTGAAACCAGACTGTCTGCTGTGTTTTACTCAATTATCATATCAGCCAGATTAGCATCTAATCACACTCTTATCTGTAACTGAATCTTTTAACGAATGAGAAATACATTTTCTGTCAATGTTGGACATCCAGGCACAGAAACAGATGTATGTAACAATAATAGTAACCTATATCATTTTAGTTCTAAAAAGAAATATTTCTAAAATATCAGAAATATATTTCTGATGCTAGCTACTCAACTTACGCTCAAGCCTCAGCTCAACCCTCTTGCTCATTAATGTAAATAACCTCATTGATTTTTCATATTAAACACTACTTTGACTAAAAGTGTTTGCTGGACCATGCCAGAGAGCACTTAAGTATCTGGAATAAACAGTATTTGAAAGTAACACTATTGCAACTAAACACCTGCCACTTCATGGCATGTAACTCTGCCAGCTAATTAGTCAGGTTTACACAGCAGAAAGGTGCAGGGGGAAAACCCTACCACTTTACACAGGAAATGTATGGTTCAAACAGCAATGACAGACTAGTTCCTTCCACTGAGTGTTCACTACCAGGTTGCCTTCAGCTTAGAGGGTAACGTGCATAAACCAAGTATCAGTAATGCTACAGTGACAAGAAATCATGCTATGATTTAAATATATATATATGTACATATACACACACACACAGCAGTATTTAGTGAAAAATCTTAATATTCCTTTCAGGGATTTGCAGTTCAAACATTCCAGAAACATCCACATGCATGAAAAATCACAAAGCAAAAATCTGGTTTTATCAATTTGCTCAGTGAAACAAAGGAAAAAAAAAGTCAAAATTCATTGATCTAGCAGAGGATGGGTTTGATTACTTTTCTCCTTCCACTTAGGTTATTTTACTGTGGGGTTTCAGCCCAGTTTCAAACCAAGTCCCCCTTATGAAAGGCAGTACTCACAGCTGGTGCCACTGCCTCTCACAGGCCCCCTCCCCAGGCCAGTCCAACCCAAGCAGCAGGTAGTTCCCAACCATCCCCTCCCCAAACCCAGCCCTTGGTAGACACTTGCCAGCCAAAGCCCCCTGGCTGAGCCTTCCCCCCAACTCCTGTTGTGAGGAAAAACACCCCTGGCAAACATTGGGAGGAGAAAGGAAGCATCATAGAACCAATCCCCAATTCCTACAGGTGTGTTGGTTCAAAGGATAATTCAAAAAGTGCACAACCCACCACCACCCACTCTCCAGCTGGTGAACCTCTCCGCTGTTCTTTTCTTTTCCACCTGAGCAGCAGTCTGGACTGTATTCACAAACTGCCACACTGATTTTTGGGCAAAGCACTTATTTAAGGAGGATTTCAAGTTACAGGGGCAGGGGAAAAAAGCTTTATAAAATTACACTAAACATGTATTTCCTGCTCTGATATATCTTAAAGAGAGTCTCCTGCAATATTCTTAAAAACATCAGCTCAAAATTCTCAAAGCAAGTAAGTGGACTGGATCTGGGACAATGAGGTCCATTCGTTATACACCTACATGTGTTTTGTGTATTGTGAGAGCTTAAGTTTTGGCAGAATAAATTAATAATGTAAGGAACAGTAAGGCATGGTAATATTTTGCCATTGTAAAATTGCAGATACATCATGGTTTTTAGAAGAAAATGCCCAGAATGTACAGGATATTCAAAAACATGCATCATTGCTCCAATTTTGATCAGAAGGGGGGTGGGGTGGAAACTACACCTTACAAATCCCAACATGCTTGTAAGGGCATGTTTTTTAATTAACCACTGCAGTCCCTAGCTTTTCCTCTCTTCAGGCTTTCTCCTGTTACAGCCATGAAACATCCACTGGAGCAGTTCAGCCACTTCTGCAAGAGACTTAATATCGACTGTTGTCCAAACAGCAGGTCAGCTACAGGACACTCACTTTGGTTTTTTTCAGCTCTGAAGACCAGAATTCAAGTTCATAGTTTGTGTCACACAATGCATGATCTTATGAGAAGCTCAGTGACAGGAGATAGCTGTGTTAGGAAGAAAGTCCATGCACTGCACTTTTTCACCTAAAACTCAGGACAACCCTTTAGTTATGAATTTGACCATCATGGTTGCAAATTGGATTCATAATTAAAAATAGCATAAGAGATTTTAGTTAATTCCAAAGTCAGGATGCTCAAAGAACCCCAGAGCCCAAAACGCAAAGATGACTCCTCTTAACAATACAACAGCCTCTTCCACAACATCAGCCAGGGACAAGCTGTGTGTCAGGTATCTGCCTCCGTCACCTCACAGCAAATGTTGTAGCAAGGCAAGAAATTCCAAAATGCTCCCAGGGTTGTAAATTACACAGATGTAACTGGATATACAGAAACATTTAGTGAGAGGTAAAGACAAATGTCTGGCTTACACAGTGCTCTCCAACTAATGTCAAGAACAGATGAGTGATCAGCTAAGAGAAAAAACAGGGACCGGAGACAACCATACAGCTGGAGGTCCTCTAACGCGTGGGAAAAGTTAGTCTTCCTTCTACCTTTTTTCACTAGTAAAGCTTTTTGTAAATGAAACCACGTGCAACCTAAAGTGAAGTTGTGTAAGGGAGCCCTCCATGGCAAAATATGAAAAAATGGAATTCTGTCTTTCTAAGAGAATCCGTTCATTCAAACTCCCCCTTCTTGGTCAAGATCACTACTCTTTGCATTTACAGCTTTCAAACCAGTTCTCTCTCTCCATTCTCACACCAGCACTGCCCCTAAGCCACCAGGCTCCCTGCTGTGTAAATGCATACGTGGCTTGATCCATCATCAGCCATGGCTGCAAGGAACAAAGTAAGCAGCATGCAGAAACCCTGGACTGTGTGCCTCAGCTGAGCCCATAACTCTTGGGGAGACTTGTTCTGTTGAGACAGGACAATAGAAAAATGCAAAAGCATGTGGCAGGGAAGACTCCAGCTGACTCAAATGCTGGCTATTTTTCCTCATTTAACATCACATATGAAGCTGTTCCAATACCCCTTGGCTATGTCCTGTCCTAAAGTCTAGGTATCTCTTGAGCTTCCTCCCTTTCTCCTACCTTTTCATCCTCTCTCCTATTTTACATGCAAGCACAAGCTGAGGGCAACTATATAATTGTTTGGATGAAGGCACTATCAAACATGGTTGAGCAATTCTACCACTTATCTTTCTGATAATCTTTGACATCTTGTGGCTGTTTGTCTCTCCTATGAGAGGACAGTGACTATCTGTGCTTATTTTTTTCATTAGGGGTGACAGAAGAGGAAACCAATAAGCTTCAAACCAAGTTGTGGCAAGCAACAATGAAAAATTCCACCCTCTGAAGACTGTTCAGCAGCGTATAAACCGCAGGTTTACTCAGTGCACAGCACTATCCTCTTCATTCCAGGCTAGTTTCCTAAACCTCAGGTTTAAAGGAAAAAAATATCACTAGCTGGCTGCAAGAGAAGGCAGAAAACCTGTTCTGTGTAACTGGCACAGACTCATTCACTCCTGCACTCATTAGTGAAGATGGTTTAAATACCAGCACCTCCCCCGCATGCATTGCTTCACTGGATCTCCCCTAAGGAAAATGGTCCAGTTTGTGTTCATCGAGCCTGAGGAGGGGTTTGGGAAATGTTCCAAACCTTGTTCACCTTGTAGACAGAGATGCCCTCCACCTCTCAAAGATCCCACGGTGTTAAAAACCTTATCTTTCAAGATCTGAAAAGAAAGATATCCTCCATTGCTGCTATAATGAGATTAGCCAGCAGGTCTCGTGCTGCTTCCCAAGTTTTAAGAGACCTACTATCACCATTGCTTGAGGGGATACAACAGCCTCCAAAGCCTCTCCTGGGTGACAGTCGCATGGCCTTTGGGCACAGATGCCACTGCCCACCTAACTAGCAAGGGGGAAGCTCCTGAAGCCATTGCCTCAAGGTCTCAATTTGAAAGAAGGGAAAGGGGGGGAGAGAAAATAAGGTAAAAGGTAGAGAATCAAAAGATGTATTGCTTTTTCCTTCTGAGGAACAGTGGCCTAAGAGGAGCCCTACAACAGTGCTGTAGGTTGGGAGAAAGATGGCCAGGTGGGCCAGATACTCTCTGGGCAGCATTGGGCTTAAGATGAGAAACTACTACATCCAGAAGAACAGTCAACTCTGTTAGTATTTCTAAAAGGAGAAAAATTAATGGAACTGGTCTATGAGTACATCCCTGATTTCTTACACTAGTTCTCTTGTCTAGATAGCGTACACTAAGTGTTTTTCTCTGTATTAAGGCAGAAGCATACAGCTCAAATTCCCACTCCTGTGAAATACTCTCCTCTTTCAAGGTTTGTCTGTACATTTTCTAGA